CAGGCAATCCCCTCACCTCAGCCTCCCAAAGTGCTGGGATTACAGGCTTGAGCCACCACATCCAGTCAACTTCTAACTTTTAAAAACACTAAAATAATCCTCATCTGATTTGACAACTCAAGACACTTTTGGTAGGCACCCAGCCTTATGCCAGGAATTGTCCTTGAGCTCAAGGATTCGAAGATAAACAATACTCAGTGATCAGTGAGGGAATACACCAGGGATAGCAGCCGTACAGCCGCCAAGTCCTTGGGTGCTTCTGGGACCACTGAAACACATTCACTGGGATGAGCCAAGGAAAGGGATTTGAAAGGATTGGTTCTGCTCACACAAAGCCACAAGCTATGAGAGAGACCCCACTGAGTCCAGAGAAGGGGAGATCATTTGGTGGAAATGGATGGCTGATATCATTTGAATACCTGTCCTCTCTAAAGCTCATGTTGAAATTTGATCCCCAATGTGGGAGTTTGGGTCATGGAGGCAGAACCCTTAGGAACAGCTTCGTGACGTCCTCAGATGAGTGTTAGTTTCCAAGAGAACTGATTGTTAGAAAAGAGCCAGGCACCTCCCTTCCCTCTCGCTTTCTCTTATCACAAGACTCCTGTTCCCCTTCACCTTCCGCCATGAGTGGAAGCTTCCCAAGCCCTCAGCAGAAGCGCATGCTGGTGCCTTGCTTCTTGTACGGCCTGCAGAACCGTGAGCCAGATCAACCTCTTTTCTTTATAAATGACCCAGCCGCAGGCACTCTTTACAGCAACACAAATAGACTAAGACAAGGGTGAACACAAGACAGTGGCTGGAAAGGAGGCATGAGACAGGCAGGGCAGGCTCTGAAGACATCCAGCTGCTGTGGCGCCTGGGCTTCCTCTCAACGAGTCGCCCTCTGCCATTTCACGAGAGAAAGTCATCTGTGGTTGCAAGAGAAAACCCAAGTGGCAGCACTGAAGACCCATGGGAGGGGAGGAGAGATGGAAGACAGTCACAGCCGCTGGAAATGGCGGAAAAAGAAGCAAGCTTCCCAGCCGAGGCAGAGGGAACGTGGAGAAGGAAAGGGGAGCAGAGGTCTGAGAAATGTTGACAACGACACGACTGTGCAAGGGGCCAGGCGTGGCTGTGGGTGGGGTGGGCTGCAGACACACTCGGATCAATGCCCCACAGAGGCAGCAGTGAGTGTGGTTAGGGGCAGGGACTCTGGGGGCACAGTGGGCTGGAATTCGCTCACACAATTGTGGAATCTGGGAAGTTCAAATTTGCAAGGAAGGTTGGCAGGGCAGAGATCCAGAGAAGAGCTGATATTCCAGTTCAAGTCCAAAGGCAGTCTGCTGGCAGAATTTCTTCTTCCTGAGGGGGACTTCAGTGTTTTTCCTTAAGGCTTTCACCTGATTAGTTGAGGCCCACCCACACTATGGCCGATGACCTGCTCTACTCAAAGTCTACTGACAGAAATTTTCATCTTACCTAGAAAGTACCGTCTGCTGCTTCTGTAGGACATTGGCCCAGGTGTGTCTGGGGCCCCTAAGGGGGTTCAAGGAGAGGCAGAACATACAAGGGAGTGAGAATCTGCACAAGTGCATGTCTCTTACAAATGACAGTGCAGGCCTATGGAGCTTGCCCAAGGCGGGACTTACATCTTCTAAAGAGCAGAACCCAGGTTTCAGGAAACAAATGCCAACTCTTTCCATTTTCCTGCTCACTTTCTCTCCCTTTCTCTGTATCCACTTCCTTCCTCCCTTCAGAATCCCCGTGTTCTTCTGAGAATCCCAGTCACACACCCCTCAGACTGCTCTCTAGTGGAGGGCCTGGGCTCCTCATGTTCTGACTGTGACCATGATGCCAGAATTATTAAGCTGTAGAGTATACACACCAGCACTAAAGTACCTGTCTCAGTGCAGGATATGTTAATCCAGCATCACAATCTACTTAACAATGTCAAGTTTAATATATCTGGTAAAATCAGTGCATCCCTCACAATTAATTGCCAGAGTCTCCATTATTTGGAAAGCAAGCCAAACCAAACCATCCCCCTGAAAAACCCAAGAAACGTTTATTTTCAAATATAATTCCCAGAACTAAGTTTTGACTGACTCAAGGAATTAAGTATCTATGAAAATATGCTTGATGTCAAAAATCTCCCAATTGGCCAGCCGTGGTGGCTCACACCTATAATTCCAGCACTCTGGAAGACTGAGGCAGGAGGATTGCTTGAGCCTGGAGATCGAAATCAGCCTGGGCAACATAGTAAGGCCTCGCCTCTACAAAAAAATCAAGTTAGCCGAGTGTGGTGGTGCATAATTATAGTCCCAGCTACTCAGGAGGCTGAGGCAGGAGGATTGCCTGAGCCCAGGAGATGGAAGCTGTGTTGAGCCAGGATTGTGGCACCGCACTCCAGCGTGGGTAACAAAGCAAGACCCCAACTCAAAACAAAAACAAAAACAAAACCTCCCAATTACCTTTATATATGGCCTAGCAGTTTTAAATTCTGAATTGCATTACTTGAAAACGAATAGTTTCAATCTTGGGGAACAGGAACCCCCATGCTATCAAAACCCTCAGCACGAGCATGTGCTCCCAGACTGGTATCATGAGTGAAAATTGATAAAAATGATCTTAAGGGAAATATGTTTTCAAAACTTTAAAATTTTATAACCCAGGAATTCTGCTTCTTCTAAAATTTCATCCTAAAGAAATAATCATCAAGATTTAGCTTGCGTCAAGATTTCGCTACCAAGATATCTATGACCAGAGGTTAGAATAGGGATATTAGTTGGATAATGGTCCCCTCCAAATCTCACCTGGGCATCTCATCCCCAGTGTTGGAGGCGGGGCCTAATGGGAGGTGTGTGGGGGATGGGAGCAGGTCCCTCATGAATGGCTCGGTCCCCTTCCCTAGGTAATGAGTCAATTCTGGCTCTATTAGTTCAAAAGGGACCTCATTGTTCAAAAGAGCTTGGAACCTCCTCCTCTCTCCTGCCATGTGACACACCTACTCGCCTGCCGCCTTCCACTAAGTGTAAAAGCTTCCAGAGGCCTCAGCCGAAGCAGATGCTGGTGCCATGCTTCTTGTATGGCCTGCAGAGCCGTGAGTGAAATAGACTTCTTTATAAATTATCCAGCCTCAGGTACTCTTTTATAGCAATGCAAAACAGCAACTTTTTTCCCCTTTAATATAGGGGACTAAAGAATCTGAATTATGATCTATCCATAGAACTTCCAGGAAAGGGCCCAAATGGCATGCCGCAGGAAGCTTTGCCCACTAGAAACCACATAATGTACTGTGAGCAGAAGTGTTCACCGACTTCAAGGAAAAGAGACCTCCACAGGCTTCTTAGAAGAAAAATCACACAGTCACAAAGTCAACTGGTAGCCGATCGGCAGCACGGGACTCTTGCTTACCCAGCTTCTGGTCAAACCGCCATGCTGCGACATAGGCATTGTGCCTCAGGCTGCTCTGGGTGGCCAGGGGCACGGTGACATAGATGGGACCATCCACCAGCACTGGCGTTCCATTACTGCTGAGCAAGTGGACGCTGACGGCTGTAACTGGGGTCAGGTCATGCCTGGTGCTGTTTCCTAGAAGGAAGAAGCATTCTCTATCATATGTGTACAAGTACCAATGAGGGTTTGCAAAAAAAAAAAAAAAATCATCATAGCTACCATTTACTGGGTATAGTACCTCCCACATGCCAGAGACTGCACTGATAAATTTACATACATAATATTGACCATAACCTGATAAGGAAGGTAAAATCCTCAATTTAAACATAAAGCAACAAGTTTAGAGAAGCAGTAATGGTAGTTGGCCTCAGGGTATACCCTAGTCAGTGATTGAGCTGGAATCCAAGCTTGGGTTTGTAATTCTTTTTGTTTTGTTTTGGAGTGCAGTGGTATGATCACAGCTCACCATAGCTGCAACCTCTTGAGCTCCAACGATACTTCTGCCTCAGCTTCCCAAGTAGCTGGGACTACAGACATGTGCCATCATGCCTGGCTAATTTTTAAAACTTTTTTTGGTGGAAACAGGGTCTCACTATGTTGCCCAGGCTGGAGGTTTGTCAATTCTAACAAACGTGCTTTACTTTCAAAAAGGGTCTCAAAAGGAAAGACTTTTCTATAATGCGAGATGAAGGTATATGTGGAAAACACTGAAAATCACTTCTATACAAACTGAGTCCTGTGCACATGTTAGTTACTTGGCAGATTACCATAAGGAAACAAAATGCTTTAGTGTAGAAGCTGCTTTCTTTTTTTAATATAGCAAATTTCTTCAAGGATTGCTTCAGCGTATTAACTTGTTTCTGCTAGAAAGTATACTACTGAAACTTGGATTTGAAATATTTATGAGTTTTTTTAGTTGCCACTGTTATTTTGGTCTGTTTAAAAGGAATTTAATATATGATTATTCTCCATTAAAGGCCTTTGTCTAAGCCAAAGCTTTAATGACTGTCTACAGATAAATTAGAGAATGCTTATGAGTATAATATTTATACACTCAAGCGATCCATTTTAGATTTTTCTCTACTGAATACAATATCATACAAAATGTATGGTTATAATTTTATATATTTCCTTAAGCAGGACAACAAAAACACAGTGATAAAAAAATTCAAGCTATTTTATAATGCAATCTATAGGATTTCTTATTTGGCTACTTATGAGGGGTACCCCCAAACACCCAGAATTGTCTCTTGGAGGGTGGGCCCCTTGTAGTTCAGGTGTCTCTCACCAGGTGAGTGTTCGAGAAACCCATCAGCATCAGTATACCAGCTAGCATTGTTGTGAGAGGCTACATTCAGCTTTAGTGAGGTTTTGTTTTTTTTTTTGAGATTCTTTCAATGTGTTTGCCCATTTCATGGTGGGTGATTTACAAGTGTACCTGCCTATACCATACACTGAGTGTTCAGCAGTTTTAGACCAAAAACAGCATGACCCCCGTGCCCCACCCTCCCTATTCACACAGTCTCGCCTCGAGCAACTTTTTGTTTCCCCAGATGAAAAAAGTCCTCAAAGAGAAACATTTTTCCAATGTGGAAGGGTTCAAACAAAAACAGCAGAAGCACTAAAAGGCATCCAAATGGACTGTTTTGAGCAGTAGAAAAAGCATCTCAATAGATGTATTGCATCAAATGGAGAGTACTTTGAGAATGAGTGAAGTACGTTGAGGATGAGTGAAGATTCAAGTTCCAAAATCTCTGAGTCTGGCCATTGAATTTTTGAGTAAAGAAAACCAAAACTCAGAATTTACTATGCTTCCGGACAAAATATCTTGTGGCCTGAGACATAAACGTGCCAACAGCTTAAAGGTGATATGGTGGCCAAGCCAGGTCTACAATGTGCTGTTCCAGGTTTAGACCATCTCAATGAGATATAACTTAAACTACAGAGACTAGTTAAGTAGCTTATGTAACTTTGTGTAACTTACACACAACCAAGGGAAAACGTTTTTCCTGTAGGAAGTGCTGTTATCTTCCATCAAACCCTAGGCAGGTTGTCTGAATAGGGAAGCAGCAGGTAGGTACAGTAGAAAAATCCTGGAAATGGCATCTCCCCTTCTCTTCCCTTCTCCCCTTTCTATCCTCTCTTCCTATTATCCGGCACATTCCCAGCCTAGGAAGAGGCAGTTCCTGCATATCTGCCACTAACTGCCTACTGTAGCCTCTGCAAGTTACCTCACTCCTCTGGGGTCGGTTTTGTTATCTTTAAAACTAAGAAGGGTAGACCAGATGCCTTCCTGAGTCTGTGGAAATAAATATACTCAGCTGGAAACATTCAGAAGCCAGTATAGCATTGCAGAAACGAGCATATTAATTGAAAGCAATATGCATTAGGTTCACGTAATTTCATGTTCCCTTAAAAGCTCTCTCACTGACTTCAGACATTGCGGGCAATTACATCTGCTTTCTCGAGGCCTCTTTTCTTCCTCAGGGCTCCATGAGATGCCTGCTACCACTCTATGCCTTCCCACTCTTTTTATTCTGCAACAATTCATGCTTCGAAGGGCTAGGTTATTTTCTTTCCACTTTTTGTCATGAGACTACAGTTCTACACAAAATGCTGGGCTCTCTAGACATTGCTGGCTTCCCTTCCTGTTCCATCTTGATGTCACCTGGCTCTCTGTATGTCCGAATAAAGACAGATGTCAGGCAAAAGCAGCAGGGTGAAGAGAAACACCACCGGCCCAGATGTATCACCTTGGGCTTCCTGCTGGTCATGTGACAAGAGAGGTTCTGCTCAGCTGGCATCTGGGGTTCTGTGTGGCTCTGCTGCTAGTACCAACTCTCCAGGACTGCAGGAAAAGTCTGCATCTTAGTTGCTGTATTGACCACTCTGTCTTTCATTCCCAGAATTATCAGGAGAAGTAACTTCCTTAAAACCCATTGAGAACACCACAGAACAGTTCTGTGCTTTCTTAGTAACCAGGAGAAGAGTGTGAAGTTCTTTGGTCCATGTGTGAGAAGGGTGCAAGTGCCCCTTTGTAAAGCCAGGAGCTTCAGACCGGATGCGCTGGAAAGAGAAGCGGTGTAATGTGGTAATCCCAAACCTGAGAGGGTCTGTGCCTAATGTTTACCTATTCCAAAGAAGTCACCTGGAGGTCCAGTAGAGAAAGACATTGGTTTATTAAAGTTTATGGAGGTAGCGATGGCAGCAGATCTATAGCGAATTCACCCCTCCAAGCAGTTTTATAATCAAGCAAGTTAAGCACTCAAATTCCCAATACGGTGTTTACAATTACAGACATTGATTAAGAGTGATGACTACGCTGTTTTCTTTTTTCTTTTTGAGTTGGAGTCTCACTCCGTCGCCCAAGCTGGAGTGCAGTGGCATGCTCACCACCACCCCAGCGTCAACCTGCTGGGCTCAGGCAATTCTTCTGCCTCAGCCTTCCAAGTAGCAGGATCTACAGGCTAATTTTTTTTATTTATTATAGAGACAAGGTCTTGCCAAGTTGCCCAGGCTGGTCTCGAACCTCTGGGCTCAGGCAATCCCCTCACCTCAGCCTCCCAAAGTGCTGGGATTGCAGGCTTGAGTCACCGTGCTTGGCCGACTATGTTGTTTTCAGCTTTGCTTGGTCACCAGCATCCCATGACTGCTACTGGGAACATTCACACATTTCAGAGACCAGCCTTGGCCAGAGGCTGCTCCCTGAGGGAGGGGGCAGGAAGAAGTCAGGTACAGGGGGCAACAGTCCATGTCCAGATAATACCACACTAGCAGGTAGGTGGTCAAAACCTCCCTGTGCCTGTATTTCTCTCCTTACAACTCTGGAGCCTCTCTCTGGACCAGACATCACCTTTATGACAGTCCAAGGACACCCCCTTTGGGTCCCTTTCCAGTCCCCTCTGTGGCCTCCTCTGTTTCTGTCACATTCGTTGAACTCAAGCCATCTCACAAAGACATGTGTGGTCCAGGCGCTCCCTCTAGGCTGAACTTTCTTGGATGCCTTTTATAAAACAGGAGGTGAGTAACTGGGCAAAGCCAAGCTGTATGCAGACTGACCCCAGGTCGGCACCTAGCTGGCGAGGTATGGGGGTCTCTGTGCTGAAGGGTGTCCACACTCTCAGACCCCCAGGGTGCGTGTGAGTGTGCTGTGAGGTGGATACCTTCCTTGCTAGGTCTCCAGGAAGGTCTGATTCTTTCTAGGGCAATTCACCAGTTCTTTCAACAGAAAAGAAGTTCAATGTTACCTTCCAAAGACCTTCTCTCTTCCCTCTCAAGTAATGGAATGATTTTCAAGTAAAACAAACTCCTCTAAAATCAATAGTCCTGGGTCTTTGTGTTCTTCTTCCCCAGGCTTTTCAGATGGCATAATTTATTCAAGAGCTATTGGAAGTGGGGCACAGAAAAAATTAATGAGTTCGGAGAACGAAGGCTGTCCCTCCAGGTGAGGGTTTTATAGATTGTGCTCCATTTTGTCAGAGAGGCTAGAGGTTAGGATGATTTCAAAGTACTTCTCCACATTCCCTGAAGCGATGTGTTTCTCCTAGGCCTGCACACTTCAAGTGAAAATCAACATTTTTTTCCCCAATAATGTTTACTTAAGATGACTACTATGCATCTATCTGATAACACGTTATTGACATATTTTATTATATTTTAAAAATTTAATCAATTATTATTATTATTATTTTTTTGAGACAAGGTCTTGCTCTGTTACTCAGGATGATCTTGAACTCCTGGCCTTAAGTGATCCTCCCACCTCAGCCTCCCGAGTCACTGGGATTACAGGCGTGACCCAAGGAACCTGGCTAAATAACTGACATATTAATTCCATCATCATCCATATATAAAAATTAAAGGGAGAAGAAACATTTTGGAAAACAGGTGCCAGAGAGGGAAGAGAAATGAGTAACAAATCACCAAGGCACCTTAATCTCTAACCAGAATCTTCTTAACATGCTACAAAATGGATCAGACGTTTCAGGTTTAAAAGCTTTCTCAGAATAATCAGTTGATGTAAAGTCCTGGAAAATTAAGTGAAATTCAATAAAATGTCCCTGGGAAGTACAAGAACTTACTCGCCTAGCAGGACTGAACCCAGAACAGCCTCTGATTTTGAGTTTTATGCTGTGGCT